ATGTTTATGGCTACGGTAGTCAGGTATGATGAAGCAAAGAAGTGTGCAAACAAACTAAAAATGTCTAAAGTTGCATTCACAGGTTCACGCGACGATGAGAAGCACTGCAAAGCACAAGCAAGTTTGACCATGTCGACAATATGCTAAGAAGAAATGAATGTACCATATTTGTATGATTGTAGGGGACCCATTTTGTCTTAATTTGAAATTTGAAGTTGGGGGGGAGGGGGTTGACCTAGAATTGAAAACTAGTTTCGGTTGTAAAGTTTTTCTGACGATCCCAGAGTACTCTCGTAAACTACCTTTTTGCACGGCTTTCAAGCACTGCTGTGAATCAACCTCAGCCCGTCCTAATTTGTTTGTTTTTTTCGTAGTAATTGTGTGTGCGTGTGTGTGTGTGTGTGTGTGTGTGTATATATATATATATATATATATATATATATGTGTGTATATATATAAATGCTCGTGCTCTTTTTTCGCCGTGCGATTTCAGAGGGGCCGGCCTACATTCGAGGCTACTCACAATCGTGTAAATATGGTAGGTTTGCAATGTAGCCTAGCTGTGGGTGACACTCATTGCACATCACTTTATTTGGTGTGACATTACTAAATCATTCATTACAGTTCCTGCACGTTGACTGTGTCAGTCACACTAGCGATTAGACTCGATTGCCAGAATGAGTATTCATACAACCAGTGGAAGCAAATTAAAATTTATTTGAACAGTTGCTGTGTCTAGCAATGCATTCTAAATGTCCTTGCATACAGAGAAATCCTACAGCAGGCTTTTTATAGCCTTAAAATTTGGTGGCGCCATTACTATAAAAGAAAAAGTACACTATTTCTAGCCTCCAAAAGCTTAAGTTGCCACAGCCATGTATGAAATAGGTTTGTAAGCCTGCCTGTAGTTTTTACCGTATAAACCGGACTATAGGTCGAGTGGAAATATAGGTCGACCCTCCAAGTTCAGGTTACCGAAAAAGAAAAAAAGGAAAACAACCCAAAACTGCCGAACCACATTTATTTGCGAATTGGGCGCACTGCGCCCCGATCGTCGGTCCTCCCCTCAACCACCATCGCAACTGCTTCTATTCGTCCGACGAAGCACCACTGTCTTCTGAAGACGAGAGTTTGTCGCTGTGCGCCTCCCACAGTGCGTCGTCTTCAGTGCCATCCAGCGAGTTGCTGATGCAACATTTCTTGAAAGCTGTTTCCACCATAGAATCTGGCAAGGAACGCCAGGCGGAAAGCTCCTAGCCACAAACAGTCGCAAGTGGAGGCCTCTGTAGGCGGGAACGTCGGTGTCTTGGGGTTGTCGCCGGTCATCCACTCTTGGTATTCCAGCCGCATTCGGTCCTTGAACGGCTTGTTTAGCACAACATCGAGCGGCTGGAGGGTGGATGTCATGCCACCTGGTATCACAGCGACGTCCGTTTTCCCGTCGCTGAGTACGCGTTTCACTGCGTCGGTTAAGTGGCCACGTAATGCATCCAACACCAGCATGCTGCGAAGAAGCAGCAGTGCACCTGGCCGACAGTTCCACACGACTCGTATCTATTCGAGCATCATAGCCTCGTCCATGTATCCCTTTTTGTTGACGCGAGCGACAAAACCGGGCGGGAACACTTCCTTCGGCATTGTCTTGCATTTGAAAATGGCGAAGGGCGGCAGCTTTCTACCATCTGCCATGCATGCCAGCATGACGGTGAAGCGTTAGTGCTCGTTAGCAGTGGACAACAGCTTGACATCCTTGGCGCCGCGCTGCGTGATTGTGGTCGACGAAGGCATGTCAAACCACACTGGGGTCTCATCGGCATTGCCAATCTGCCCCATCATGTAGTCATTCTGCTCCTGAAGCCCGTTCACGAAGCGCTGAAAGTTTATGAGCTTGTCCTCGAACTCCCCCGGCAACTTTTGACAGATGGATGTGCGCCGCCGGAGAGAAAGTCCCTTTGCGTTGCATAAATCGATGCACCCAAGAGTTTGGTGCACGAAACTCTTTTCTCGTGAGCCCAGCTTCTCGAGCGAGTTCCACGGCTTTCTTGTGTATGGTATCCACGGTCACTGGTAGCGAGCACGCACGAACTTCCCGCACAAAATTCCTTAGCGTATCCTCCAGCTGCGAATGAACCGCACTTCGCCCACGAAAAGAAATTTTCCGAGGATTGCACATCTGCAGCTTCCCTTTCTGCACCCTCCAATAGCGCATGCTTTTTTCTGATACACCAAAGCGGCACTGAGGAGCCATATTCCCATTTGCTTCCGTGAACTCTACAACCTATAGTTGAAACGCAGCTGAGTACTGCCTTCTCGTACCGCTACTCATATTCAGTGAACGAAAAAAAGACCTCTAAAAATGAAACGCAATGTCAAGCGGAGCAAGAATTTAGAACAGATCGAAGGCAAATCACGAACGAACACAAAAAAAACAGAGAGAGAGAAAAAAACTTCCTATTGGATTTGAACGCGAATATGGGCGTGTCCAGCTTCTCATGCACATGCGAGCCACATGTTGCCAGACAGCAGTGCACTGTCAGCTAGACACTGCTATATAAGATGAGGGGAGACTTTAGCTTGTTGTTTTATTAAAAATATCTCGACTTATATTCCGGTTTCTACGGTAGTTATTCCGGTTTCTACAGTAGTCATCTTGGTTCTTGTACTTTGGCAATGGACTGCAGGTGGGCTGTTTCTTGGGCTAGTTCGAATATCCCACTGTATTTTTCGGTGGAATAAAGATGTAAAAGTTACCAACTAGCCCATCAGTCTGTCCTTTTGGAATTTTTCAGTCGTTTCATAGCTCTGTAGATATGGGCGCTACTGTCACATCTATGCTGCCACAAACTATTTACAGGTTCAATTAACCGAAATCTGTTGGCTTTGTCACGATGGAGTGAATGGAATATTCGAAAGGAAGCTTCATTTTCCCGCATTACAACCAGATTGCACCAGTGTGACATGCTTTTGCTTTTTTTCCCTCCAAGCACAGTTAAGCGAAGTGACAGTGTTTCAAGCTAGAAAAGGAAATCAATTTTTAAATGTAGCAGGTTGAGTAGCACGTCTCAAAAGTCTACGCCACTTGTCATCTTTAGGAAATGTATTCGATAGTGTGTTGCGACAGACAATCCTGTTACGACAGCTTTCAGTGCAGCAGTAGCTAGGCACTTCCTTCTGCCACAACGAACACTTCAAAACCGAAGATTGAGCATGGTCAAGCTATATTTAGTGTCATACAAAGATCAAAATTTCCCAGACTTTTCAGATGTATCACAATTGCGAGTAGCTTGTTCGAGAACCCTGCTTCGTTTAGGCAGCCCTACGCACTGCGTGTAAGGATTCTGGCCGAAGAAACAGGTGTGCCTCTTGAACACAGTTTGATGGCTTCTGCAACATATCTGTCACCGTGGCAGTGGCAGCTTATAGACTGTGATGTCTCTTTTGTTGATGTCACAAAGCACGCTCCACTTGCACACATACATACACACTTCCTAGAACTACAACATAAATACACATGCCCTGAGTTCTTTACCGATGCGTCAAAGTCAAACACTTCTGTGTCATATGCTGCGGTAGGCCAATCCTTTTCCGAGGCCAGCGTTCTTAATCTTGATGCAAGCATTTTCACAGGAGAAGCTTATGCAATACTGGCGGTCGTAAAACACATTAAACAGATAAAATTACAGAAGGCGGTAATATACACAGATTCCCTAAGCGTGGTCAAAGCACTGAAAACTCCTAAAAAATGCAAGAATCCCGTGCTGGTGTCACTTTACTCACTTCTGTGCACACTCTACACATCAAAACAGCATGTCGTTGTCTGCTGGGTTCCAGGGCACCGTGAAATACAAGGGAACGTTTTGGCCGACAATCTGGCTGCTTGCGCCAATGTCACTACTGTCTATGCATCAACACCAGTCCCTGCACTTGACTTAAAACCTTTTATAAAACGAAAGCTTAGGGGGTATTGGCAGAGCATGTGGGATAAACACACAGATAATAAACTCCATGCTATTAAGCCGCAACTAGGTTATTGGCCGCGACTATCAAAATCACGACACACAGAACTAATACTAACAAGGCTTAGAACAGGACATACACATTCTACACATTCATTTCTTCTGTCTACCGGTGATCCACCATATTGTGAGAGATGTGGAGAGCCCCTTACGGTTCTCCACATTTTCCTCCAGTGCAATGAGCTAGATGCTCTAAGAAAAATGCACTTTTTACTGCCCTACCGACAGCAGCTCCCTCTACACCCTGGGATGCTCATCGGTAGGGATTCGCTTTTTAAACTGCAAACACTTTTCACATTTTTAAAAGATGTGCAAAGCTTTCACCTGATATTTCGAGGTCATCCGTAGCACGACCTCTATAGAGTGGTCGTGGCTGCGGTGACTACATCTTCATCATGGTTTTATTATCATGACATTTTGCCATCTGCTATCACTACACATATGTCACGCCACTGTCATGATTTTATTACTTTCATGTTTTAACCCGCGTTAGAGTGAGGAATTTTAAGGCCCCTTTACAGCCACGCACCATATCATTGTTCATATTTGTAGTCAATTGAAATGGCGCTCTTTGGCCATCAATTGGCCCTTGCGCCACTAAAAAAAAAAACTACTCATCACAATTGCGAGTAGCTACTCATCACAATTGCGAGTACCACCAATAGCAATGAACGGGCACAGCGGCCTGTGTGGTTGCGTGCACGGGCGGTGTCATGATGTATTGCAGTTGCTACCGACGGTGAGGCAGTACTCACAACCAAAATTTGCTGAAAAAAAATATATTTTTCGCTTTTTTTTTTCATGTCACTTTATTATATTGCTTTTTTTTAGCAGTTACTCTTGTTCTGCTACAAAACACCGCCCGCAAAGCTATCGTTTCATATCATTTTAAGGTCTAGAAAGGAAATGTGTTGTCTTGAATTATTTAGCTCTGTATAAGTGACATTAGCGTTTTTCTGCATCTTTACCTTTACTTTTGTCTAGGGGTTGTGTCTGGTTTTGGAAGCAGCAACTGAGTACAAATGCCTTGTGCTGGAACAGCACGTGGATGTCTTGAACAACTCACTCTTCGTACAGGTGATTACTTATTGCTCTTGGATTTTATATTGTGGTCTGTGTGTAAAGCTGATCGTTCTTGCAGTTTATTTTATGAGGCACCCAGGGAGGGGGGGGGGAAATAAGACTGACTTGTATTGTTGCCTATTCACAGCCCAAATTCTAATGAAGCAGATCTTGGAACAGAAGCTACATTAGCTGCTCTGTTTTTTACAGAGCTTTCGAGTGTCACTTTTCTGATGAAAATGCATTTCACCGTATTAATGCACTTTCCTCACCACTTCCGTATGCCATGAGCTGTTGTACAGTACTGGTTGCCTTGGATGTTCCAATGCATGTGATGAGTACTGCCAGATTATTACTTTTAAACTCAGTGAAGGTTGCTTTGGCAAGAAACTCACACTAGCTCAAAATGCATGTGTATTTTCGCTTACTAAATAATAGTATTTCTTTGTAATGAGTGTGCCAGCTTTCTGCGTAACTGTTACAAGATACTGTGCATCTAAAGTGACCATCAGAGAAATGAAGCGGGGCAGTGTCAGCAACTGTGTTGCTGACATGCTCATTAAAGGCTAAAATAAATAGCCTTTCACGATGAACGCGTAACTTGCATTTGTGCTGGAACTGTACAAAACTACGTAAAATTATGGGGCATGGTTTGCCTTGCAAAATAACACACATGTGGCATCCTCACTGCTTGTTTTGTAATGGTAAGATTAGAGTATGATCATTATGCAAGTAAATAGAAGAAGCTACTCACTTTCTTCTTTTTGTTGCATTGCTTTCCTTGAATAATTTTACTTATTCAACAAAATTTATTTCTTTCAAGCTCTTGCTCTCTTTTCTGTGTTCTTGCTTACTTTTTTTCATGTGACTAGTTGTGGTTTTCCATGAAATTCTGCTAATTCTTACTTTATTTCTCCTAATCACGAAAGAACATATTGATCAACTAATTGTGATGATTACATAAGATGTGTATTTATGAAGTATTCATTTAGTGTACACAGTTATCATCAAGCACACCTTTTTCATAAAAAAAAAATGCTGAAAAAACATTCCAGCAATAAAAAAATGGACGGCAGACATTTCAACCAATATTTCTAGTTTTGTGGTGTATGAAGTTGACAAATCGAGTGCTAAGTCATCCTCTTTTTGAATGAAGGTTAGCTCAAATAATAGGCTGGCTGTCAGTTTCTATCCCCCAAAAGTAGATTTTCCTAGAGAGCAGCCATTGGCCAGTAGAAGTAGGCAGGTTATTTGATTAAGGAATGCTTCGGTTTGGTCAGTTTAATATGGCGTACTAGAAATTTATGAGCACAAAAGATTTCAACAAAGCCGATGACCTGTGTGTTCATGTTTTTTTTTATGTCATCTTTTCTGTTGGGCTTGCATGATGTTCCGATAAGTTGGCTTCTTCCTACTGTTACCATGTGTGTTTAGGGGAGATGCTACTAGAGACATCCAAGTCTTTTTTTTTTTTTTTTTCAAAATTTTTTTATTTTGGATTTTTACTTGCTTTCAGAAATTTAGTTTTTCTACTTTCATGACAAAAAGATGAAGGTTGTGGTTAAACTCGAAGTTGGTTAAAACCACATTTAAGGAGCACGAAATGGCTATTGAAAAACCAAAAAAAAAGCTTATTGTCTAGAGTCATCTGGGAATTGTCACCTGGCTGCTTGCTATCTCATTTCGCATGAGGAGCTAACCAAAGCCACCTGCTCAAAAAACTGTGGTTCTCAAGCTCTTATGATGGAAGAAATAATTTTAAGAAGCATATCTCTGCCACTTAAATGAGCTTTGATTTCTACGATTAAAATGCCTTTCTCTTTATATGCAACTTTGGGCAACTTCTTGAGCTTTAACATCATGTTTTTGGTACTCCTGATGGCCATATTAAGGTGAAATATTTTCTACATAATCTTTAACATGTGAAGAGTGCAATCATCTTATTTAAAACATGATATCACTTGTATAAATATTATGAATTAAAGTAAGCAATTAGCACGGGCTGGGTATTTTAAGACTTCTCATATTACAATATTTTTTTTTTCATTAAAATGTCTTATACACATTTTTTTGTTAGATATTTGTATTCTACAGTTAATGTGGAGCAATATGAGCCTATAATGACTCATGATTTTAAGGGGAGATGCTACTCGAAGACACTTTTTTTTAATATTCACCCTAGAGCAATGAAATTTGAGCTGTTTATGGAACTTTTTATGCTGATTTCAAATGTATAATTAGTTTTCTTGCAAATCGCATACCTTTAGCTCTACAACATGACAAAGTGAAAACGTTAATCCTTTTGCCTCCCTTCTTTTCATCCCTAAACTTCCGTAAATTTTTACCATTCGTAGTTCATAATGTTTCAAATAAAGTGTAGAATGCAAATAACTAATTAGGAAGCACATACAAAATATGTAATAGGCGTGAAAAATAATCGATGTAAAAAGTTCATATTTCACCTACCCTAGTAAGGTTTACATACAATTTTTGTACTGTACAATAAAATATTGGAATTCAAACTAGATAATTGTATTTTTCATACTTTGGAAAAAATTTGGGCAAAATTTCATGCATATTCGAGTATTAAGTTTCTGAAAAAGAAGAGGCACATTGAAAAAAATGGCAAAATTTGTATTTTGAGAAAAACGAGTTTTAAAGTTAAAATTGAGTTTTTATTTATGATAGATATAAATAAATCTGATGAAATTTGCACACCAAAAAGAACAATCCTTCTTGTAGTGGTCACTGCCGCTAAAGTATGCCAGCACCATGAGTTGGTCCCTCTCGGCTTTTTTAAGCCGACTCCTCATAGACATTTTGCTCACAGACAGGGCCGTGAAACGCTTGCCAAACTACCGCTCCATCTGGAAGAGCCTTGTGCCAACTGCAAGCTAGGAAGAAGTTTGACAGGACTGCGAAATTCAAACTAAGTCCAGTGTCATGCCATTTTGTGGCCATGTTTGCGCCACATACCGTCGTACATAATGGCAATATCATCCCCGCTAAGTTCCCTCACTGGGAGCTCTTTCGACCTCGCAAGATTGGCGCTGAGGTCATCCATTGCCGCATCATGAACTTTCCGGCTGACAGGTGTGAATGACTTTTGATGCATTGGCCTTTGCATGCCAACAACTGCCAGAAACAGACCAGCTGCTCGTAGCCTATTCTTACAGAGCGCGCCGCACAACGGCTTTCACTTGCGAGCAATGGCTTTTTTTCATTCATAACGGAGATAATTACACTAGAAAAGCATTGTTCAGCTGCACTGCTCGACAAGACATGGACGTCGCGAATAGGCTTCACAGCACATACAAGCGCGCAGTGGCCAATGGCAGTCCCAGATCTGTACCACGTGATAAGCCACTCGCGGCGCTCGAAAAAGGCGCAAAAGCGTGCTTTTTATTATTTCTTGTGCTGCATCAGCCAGGGAAACTGTTGTTATTTGAAGAGTGAGGCTCTGCTCATGCGATCAACAATGGCGAGCGGCGGAGCATTATAGGCGGCAAGGTGCTCGAAGACTGTACACTTTGGACCTTTTAATAGGCACCTTGTGCTCTTTAGATGCAATTTTAGAGCATTTCCAGTCAAGTCTCGACCTGCATTTTTTTTTTTCATAGCAGTCGAGGTACTAATCTTATCAAAACAGGCGAAAATAAAAAAATAGGTGATTTTGAAAAAAAACTTGTGTTTTTCGTTTTTCGACCTGCATCTCTCCTTAAGAGTTTAGTGGCAGACAAAATATGTCCAAAAAAAAGTAGATGTTGCACATTTTCATGGTACAAAATAAAAACTAAGCAACTTGTACTATAACACTGATTACATATTTCAAATTAGCATAAAGGCCAATGTAAACAACAAAAATTTTATTGCCTTAGGCTACAGATCACCCCTCAATTGACACTGTTAACAGGCTGTTCTCGAAAATTTCCACATTCTAAGTTTTGCACTTTCAAATGAATCAAACTATTGTCCACTTGCACTTAGCTTTGCTTTCACCTAGTAAAAATGAAATGCAATCCTGTAGCCAGAACTCCGCCTGCCCCTTTGGCATGGAGGATGTTGAGTAGGGATAGGAAAGTTGAATTGTGTTCTCAATATCTCCACTCATTTTAGCAAACTTTAGCAGTATCAAATTGACAAGATTAGCTCAGTCAAATCACTGAAGCTTAGAGATTTTATAAAGTGTTTTAAAAAGCCAGGCAATGTTTTACATTTAGATGTGGGCTATTCATATCTGTATGTTTTAGTGCATCGTAATACTTGTGTTAACAAAGCACAAGAGCTGTTTATAAAGCACAAAAAAGAAAAGGACTGTTTTTATGTGTATATGCAGGTTTGCAACCCGCCGGACTACACGGAACCTGCAAGTGTCAGAAACCACAACGAAAGCCTACGCTGTTTTACTGTTTTAGGTATAGTATTTCGATATTTGTTCATGACTTTGGATGGATTGGGAACTTTGCTTGCAGGCTAATTTTCAGCAAAAGCTGTTACGAGATGAGGGTGCTGTAGTTGTCTGCTGCCACCCCTGTAACCACTGTGGTCTGTAACCACTGTCGCACGAAATAAGAAAAAGAAACCTAGTACCAAAGACATAGTGGGGCTCAACCCCAGATCTGCTGCGTTCCAGCTCAGTATTCTACCACTAAGCCACGCTGGTCCTTGAGACTTGTTCTTAAACTTGCCTTAGGGAGGCTTGATGTCGGCAAAGGAATCGTGTTAATATGAGTAATAAAGCGTTTTAGAACAGTAAAAAAACAACCAGGCGTCACACAATGCGAATAGCGTAACGAGGACAGTGATAAAATCCCGTAGATATCCTGCCAAGGACGGCGGCATAACTGCGCACTAAACGTTCTTTGCATTAACCACCGGCCGCCGCCAACAAAGGAGGAAACTCAGTGCCACAGGAAATATTGCCTGAAGTGCCCACAGCAAAGCCATTTCGTTATTTTTACCAAAGTACAGAAAAGCTTCTGACTCTCGCACAACCGCCTGATAGCACGTGGTGACGACACCGATGAGTATTTGGAAACTACAGCGGGATCCGACATACGCAGCGTGCTACAGCGACAGAACGGACAAAATCGGCTGTCCGCAATACAGTTTTTTTGTGGTCTGCTTTTTAGCGAAAACCAATGGAGTTTTTTTTACGTGGTACATCGCAGAGAGCCAAATCATTTACATCATAGCTGGTTGCGTGCAGAGCTTCGCTCACTCTGCGCACACCGTGACTGCCGATCTGCTTGCTGTAAAGTACACCCTTGCCGCTTCAGGCCATGCACAGATTCGGCGAGTATCCTGCTGGGTTGACGCGGTGACAAAGAGCTTTCCGCAAGCAATGCGCTCTCCGCAATGATCTAGCAGTGCTGGCAGCGGACGGAGGTGAATTTTGACTGCTGCTAAATAAAAGCATCCAGCATGGTAACTACAGTGCTACGCTCGATGTAGAGTGCACGTTTTGGCATAACACAGCAAAGTTTCTCGGTGACCGCAACCCGCAACGCTAAACTCCACAACAGCGAGCTTCTTGCATTTCTGTAAAGTGGAGTGCACTTAACAGGGTCCCGCAAAATGAACCAGCACCGATCAGTGGCCCAGCGCGTAAAGTGACCCTAAGCCACACTCGTAGGGTCACTTTAGCCGGAGATGCTTACTGTGATAAGGCTTTTCGCCGGCGATAAGTCATACCGGCACACTTTTCGGTAGTTGCCACCTCACCTTCGTTTTTTTTTTTTCACTCATCACTCGCACTGTCATCGCCACATTCATGTGCAAGTTGGAATAACCTTTTGGCTGATCTCCGCACTATCAACATGACGAGGAAACGTTCACGGCGAATCGTGGTGTCTGCAAGTTCAGCGGCGCAGTAAAATTTTGTGGCATAAAATGTTATTGCGGTACACAGTTAGTATGCTCTAACTGGTAGGCATAAGCTTAACACTACCGCTTAAGCGGTCCGCGAATACATTCTCTTTAGACTCGGTCAGGGATTCGTTGCAACTATGTTTTAACCGTTAGTATGCTTAAAGCGGGTACGCACTGATGAGGTTTGACTGTAGGTCATCCAATGCTTCAACCCATTACAAAAGCTTGTTCTTGATCACCTATTAAATGTGGTGCATACCCACTTCAGGCGCAATTTCTGGTCGCCGTCAGCCACTGCATGAACAATTGACACAAAATATCTTGCAAGTGTTTAGCGGATACCATGCTTATCAGAAGAATGACAAAAGATAGCATAGAAAATGTCGACCTACTGCCCAGAAATTATTATTAATAATAATGCAGTAGTGGGTACCAAGCAAGAATGCTTGTTCAGAAATGGCTCTGAAAAGCCGCTTTTCTAGCTTTTGGTGTGACTGTGCTGTGCCTTCCATGCAGGACTGGCGTTTTTTTAAGTAGTCGTTTTTTATATCAAAATGCCTTCAACGTAACGATTGACATTGGTATCACATTTGATTTAATGGATGCAATTTTCGATCCTCTAATCTGCTTTTGTATTCAATCATGAATGGTTAGCTTTATTTGATCCTTCCTTAGTGGAAGGTGTTAAAACAAGAGGGATCTAAAGATGTTGAAACAAGAGAGATTTAGAGCAGCACGCTTTTTAAAAAAATAACAAAAATCCCACAATTCATTGGGATCTTGCCAACATTATGTTGCTTAGACTGTGTTTCACAGTAAATGAAAGAGAAATAATGAATTATAGTATGCATGCTCAAACAGTGACACATTAGACCACCTTCGTAAATTAACAAGAATAGCAGAACTGTTTTGTATTATTCATAAGGACCACAGATGTGCATGTTGTGAAGATCTGCTTGATGATCAGTAGAGAAAGCAATGCTCATTTGGGAGCCACTGTCTTCAGAATTTGAGTGTGCATCCTACACCTTTCACCTGCAGGGTAGCTGTTCAGAAAATGTAACCAATTAGTGGCATAGTGCATTTTACCTTATTGAGACGTTTGTACAAGATTGAAGAATTATAACTTATGAATACAATTAAACCTGCTTATAATGCACCTCCATATAATGAGTTCCTCGATATAAGAAAGTTTTTCTATTCCCCACTGCTGCTCTATAGAGGCACATGTATTTGCGACCGCTATGTAACAAAGTAACAGCGGGAGACAACTTTGATATAATGAATTTTTCTCACGGACAATCTAGGAATTTTGCTCCATAATGTGCACGGCCTTGTTGCACGAAACTGAACTCGAAAGATGGCGCCAGTCCACGACCACTGCGTGAGCTGAGCCGGCCAGAGCTGTACTGTGACACCAAAGTGAACCCCCTCTGGCAAGCGTGAGTGTTCAGCTGTGCGCGAGTGCCGAGAGCAGGCAGAAGAGGGACGGCTGTGCAACTGGAGAGACGCCATATTCCTGCCTCTCCAGCAGTTTTCTTTACTTTACCCTAACTAAACGTTGTTTTGTTAAAGTAACCGTTGTCTCTTTGCCAGTCTTTTCCCTCCCATCTGCTGAATCATCATCATCATTTTGGCTTCAAACAATTCAGAAGTGGGATCGCGTACGCCCAGAAGTCATCTATCGAGCCCAACCATGCCCGTCACTCGCAACGGAAGATCTTCAACGGCTTCGACAAGCGAAGAAGATAACAGATGGCAGAGCACCAATAGCGGGGAAGTCAGCACCAGCCGAGGCGTGCCGGACAGTGCGTCGATCGGCGGCATCACTGTGACACTCGGACCAGCGTTCCACATGGCAGCAGTCTTTCAAGCCACCGTACAAGCAGCAGTGAGGGAAGCTATCAACGGGATCGCGTATCTCCAGTCGCAACAGACAGCAGCCATGCCTGTAATCGGGGCTGGGGAGAGATCGCGCCTGGTCCCTTTGTTCGATCCAACTTCATCGAACTCGCCAACCATCGACGCATGGATTCGACGTGTGGACGACCTAGCGAAAGTCTACCATCAGACAGACAGAGTAACATCTTGCCACGCACTCCCAAAGTTACATGGACCAGCCAAAATGTGGTACGACTCCCTCCTGTCTGTTAACAAAAACTGGCCCGAGTGGAAGGTGGAGCTCGAACGTGCCTTCCCTACGACAGCAGGAATGCAGAGGCTTCACCAGGAAATGGAGGACCAAATTCACAAGATAGGTGAGTCTATCGAGTACTACCATTATGACCTATTGGCGAAAGCATGTCGTTGTAACCTCAGCGAGAAAGCTTGCATCGAATATTTGATCAGCGGCCTAAACAGTCAGGATACCATCCGAGCCATCAGCACCTGCATGTACAACTCTACGGAGGAGCTTCTGCATTGCCTCAAGCATCTCGAAGAGTGTGTCGGAACTGTTGGCTCCCGGGACTTAAAATTTTCGAAGGCGAGTGGCTTCCAAAATCTTGCGGGCCACGGCAACAAGGAAAACCGAGCTGCGGAAACGACCTTGAAGGAAGACAAAACAAAACCGACAAAACTCTGAACTGAGGAGGGAGACCGAACCGTCCAGATCAAGGAGGAAACACCCCCCTTCTGAAAAAGGAGGGACTCAGTGTTTCAACTGCAACAAGTATTATCACATCTCTTTCAACTGCCCGAGTCCGCAGCAGAGGGCGAGATGCAGCACTTGCAACCGAAGTAGACATGAGGCCCAGAACTGCCGGGAAAGGAAGAGCGGGCCCTACCTCTTTCAAAGCGTCGTGGATTTGGACATCCGGGCAGCGAACGCGGCAAACGAAAAGTATTCATGCTGGCTAAGGTTAACGGGAACGAAGTGAGAGCTTACGTTGACCTTGGCAGTCAGTGTGCCACTATTCGGTGTGAGGATGCAGATCGAGTCGGGATCAAATATACGGTGATGGAGAAGCCGCTGACTATCGGGGGCTACGGGTCAGGGCATGTGATGCAGTGTGGTGAGGCAAACCTTAACCTCACAGTTGACCAAGCAGTAGCCGACGTACCCGCGCTGATCGTGCCTAGTGAGTCACAGGCGATTCCTATTATCGTGGGGCACCCCTTCACCGAGCAATCTAGCGTTATGGCTGTTAGGCGACAGAACACTGTGCATATATTTGAAGAGGAGAAGAACGGGGACGAAAGTGACGACACATTAAAGTCCATAGAAATTCCAAATCTTTCGAGGTGCCCAGTCTGCCTTTGGGCGAAAGAGTCGACAATTGTTTCACCCAACTACATTGGATTTGTCAGGCTCTACGGTACGGGCAGCGAACCCAACGCTGATGTTTTTGTGGACGCACAACTCAGGTGCCAAGAGGGGCATGAACATCGCATACCTCGTTGCGTCGTGAACGTAGATGCGGCACACGAGATGTGCATTCCTGTAATGAACGTTTCACACCAGAAACTCCATATCAAAGCCAATGAGCGTGGGTTGTGCTAGCGGAGGTCTGCTACCTCGATGAAGAGCCGATGCAGGATGTGA